TGAAGAGTCTGGGAAAGAGAACACTGGAGTCCATGAGAGCTGTCTTCAAGAATTAGAAAGAGCCCCCGTGGGCAAGAAGCAGGGAATGAACCCTGGTGTGAGCTTCCAGGGGGGCAGGTAGGAGGAATGGGCTGAAGTTAAGGGGTGGCCTTTCTGTCAAAGGAGGGATAACTTTCCAAAGACTAAATTGTCTAACACTGGGAAGGAGCCCTTGTGATGACAAATGTTCAAGTGCAAGTTCATGGGAAGAAATTCCTGCCTGCCCTGGGAAGGAGGAGACTGGATGTGGCCTTCAGCTGCCTAATGCGCCCAGCTCCTGTTCTGGGCTCCCGGCTCCCAGCTCGCAGCTCCCTGTTCCCATTCTGATTCACCCATCCCTTGCCCAGGACTAGTGGTTCTCAGCATGACCTTTTCCCCCTCAGTACCAGAAGTCTTTTCTCCCCCAGCCTGTCCTGCAACCAGTGAATTTCCCAGCCCTGAGGAGGGGACAGGACTACCCACCAAGCACATGGCACCCCCCAGGCCCAACCTCAAGACTCCAAAGACTGAGTCACCCTGGGCTAGGGAGGCATCTACACACAGAAGCTGATGGATCATAGCTGTGGCCATGAGGACCACATGTGTCTCTGCATGGACATCCCAGTAGTCAAGAGCTGGGAGTGGAGCAGCCAGGGCCTCTGTCGTTTCATTCTTCAGCCGTGTGAAAGCCCAGGGGTCTGGAGGAGTGAGATTGGGCTCCTGGTGTGGATGTAGGTTTGCACCTCTCGTCCCACTCTTCTTCCTGAAGGCCCACACTCTGAAGATCATCTGAAACTCTTGCGGGTCATTTGTTCCAGCTCCTCCTTTTCCCTCTATCCCTCTTTCAGGAGCAAGCAGTCAGACCCCTCTTTCATCTCTCTACCCAAGGGTTTTGGCCCTTAAGAGTGTGGCACTGCTCTGGCAGTGGTTTTGGGGGAGACTTTAAGCTAGTTTCACCTCTGCATTGAATCTTTAGATTTAAAGGGATCCCTACTTTGCACCTCAATATCAGATTGCATTTTAGGGACTGCAAAGCACCTGCAGACATGTCTCCTAGCAAGTTCTTAAAACTATCTCCTGGGATAGTATTGATTTGAACTATTTCACCCCCACCCCCATTCCTGAAAGAATACTCATTTTTGTGTTCTGATTCTCCATTTCAAATACATGGCTACTTTTTTCTTTCTTTTTTTTATGGACAAATACGTTTATTTTGTTGATTTATTTTTATGTGGTGCTGAGGATAGAACCCAGTGCCTCACACGTGCAAGACAAGCGCTCTACTGCTGAGCCACAATCCCAGCCCCACATGGCCAGTTTGAAAAGCTGTCCTGCCAAGAGTGGGGTCAGATCCAGTTTGTGACACCAAGGAAGGCAAGAGAAACTGACAGAATCTCTGTGGTCTGTGTGCCTGAACCTAGATTCCCCCCAATGTCGATCCCTTCCAGGATGGCCTCAGGCCTCTCCCTCATTTCTGACTCCTACAGCTACCCTGCAGTTGGGCCTTCCACTGGGTTCCTCTGGGACTTTTGAGCTGGTTGCTGTGGGGGGATCCTTCCCTGCCCCTAGGTAAAGCCCAGAAAAGCCTGAACTGGTTTTGGTTCCTCTTCTTCTCACCTCTTGGGTGAAATGTGACAGTGATGTGGACTGGATTTGTAGTCTGTGATGCTCTGGTCTCACTGAGGTCATGGTTGGTGGTGATGGGGTCAGGTAAAACCAGGTTCTGGGGCTTAGACCAGCCTCCCCCTGTTCTATGGCAGTTGGCTGGTATGTAGGGCAGGGCTGGGGGGATAGTTCATGACTAGCCCAGGTCCTGGTTCTACCCAGAGGTAGTACTTTCTCCAATAAAACTTCCTCTAGACAGGATCTTCTGTCTGTCTATCTAGACCTGTCTAGACCTACCTTCCCAACAAGGCGGTTCCCTGGCATGTCCACCCTGAGGTCCTGGCTACCTTCTTTCCAGTTCTTAGCCATCTAGATTTTTTTTTGTTGTATCCTTCATTTATGAAAATTAATAGCCCACCTGAGAAAAGCAGGCATTTCATTTTATTTTTTGCAGTACTGGAGAATAAACCCAAGAGCACTCTACCACTGAGCTGCATCCTAAGTCCTTTTCCTTTTTTATTTTGAGATAGGGTTTCACTAAGTTGTGGAGGCTGGCCTCGAACTTGTGATCCTCCTGCCTCAACCTTCCAAATTGCTGGGATTACAGGCCTGAACCACTGTGCCTGGATGAAAGTAGGCAGTTTAAATGGTCAGAGTGATCTTAGAATTCAAGAGCAGGAAGGGAACACAGAATGGCCACTCCTTGGTTTATGGACAAGAAACCCAGTTCCAACCCCAACACTGAAGTGTAGAACCAAATAATCTGGAAAAATGGACCACTACTTAGTTTGGACAAAGGCAGGGAGGGGAGTAGGAAGCAAAAGGAATAGAAGAAGCTGGACGGATTCCAGAGGGGAATGTGAGCTAAGGATTCAACTGTACCCTAAGTCAACAAATATTTTCTTGGGCCAGGTGTGGTGGCACATGCCTGTAATCCCAGCAGCTTGGGAGGCTGAGGCAGGAGGATCACAAGTTCAAAGCCAACCTCAGCAACTTAGGAAGGTCCTAAGCAACTTAGCAAGACCTCATCTCAAAATCAAAAAAAGGGCTGGGGGTGTGGCTCAGTGGTTAAGTGCCCCTGGGTTCACTCCTTGGTACCAAAAAATATTTACTGCAGCAAGGGGTGGCTCAGTTGACTCAGTTGTTGTGGTTTAGTATACACAAGGCCCTGGGTTCCATCCTCAGTTCTATAAAAAAACACAAACTCAAAGCAACTGTTTAAGAAGGCACTCTGGCAGGACCCTTCTGCCTGCTCTTCCAGCCTAGAGCCTCTGTGCTATGACGCTGCTAAGGACAGTCTACTGAGCAGTGCTGCTCAGGGCCCTGCAGGGAGACTAGGCTGGAGGGGGATGGTCTGCATTTCCAAGGGGACAAGAGCCTCAGAGAGAGAGTATTCAGGAGGTAGGTGAAGAAGGGAGGGGGCACTGGTGGTGGCTGATTAAAGAAAGGCTCCAGAGCCTGCAGAGTTTCCGGACTCCTGGGCTCTTGGCTAGACCCTGATTGAGGGGTCCAGGCACATTCAGATGCCTGGATGAGGACCACCGGCTTAAGGTGTAGCATGAAGCAAGTTGCCAGGTCTCTCTCCTTGGGATGGAGCTTTTCTACAAGACATGGAACTTGCCCGGTTATCCCCCTGCCACCACCTGCCTCTAGTAGGTCACGCAGTGAAGTGAGGTGTGCAGTTAGGGGAAACTTTTGAGGTTTCTCAGAAGCCAGGAACGGACAGATCTCCAGGTGGTTATTAAAACATCCAACTGGGTCAGGGCTTGTGGACAGCTTGAAGCTTCGGGTAGAGGACACCCGGCAGCCTATGAGGTGCGGCCAGTGGCCGGCCTGGGGCCGGGGCAGGAGTACATTGCCTTGGAGGGCAGTGAGGTTGTAGGTTGATCTGGGGCACAGCCCAGACCTGTGGTTAGACTCAGGGCCGGCTGCGTTGGCGTGCCTCTGGGCAGTTACAGAGGGCCTGAGCTTAGAAGGAGCTCTCACTTGGCTCTGCTGTTGCTATCCTGAAATTACTAACACTTTTTCAACAAGGGGCCCTGCATTTTCATCTGGCATTGGACTCGAGAAGTCATCAGCAGGACCTGATTAATAGTTGGATTAGTTACACATCTGTTTTAACCGGTTAGATCCCAGAGGCCAGACTGGGTGTAAAGAACCTTTCTCTTCGCTTCACTTCTGCCATGTCCCACTGACACTTCCCAACCTGTGACCTGGGCAAGAAGAGAGGCAGCCTTTTCCAAGCAACTCTGGGATCACAGTGGGTAGAGTTATAGAAGGAGAGAACTGAAACCTGCTTAGGGTGAACTTAAGGTCAGGAGTCAGGGTCTGAATCCTTTATGACCTAGGACAGAGTGCAGCTCAGAGTAAAGCCCTTTCACCAGGGATGGCCAAAGACCAAGACCAAGTTTCCAAGAAACCTTCTTAATCAATCCTCTGCTGCCTGCATACCAGATCCCTCCTTGGGGGTCCTCCGGTCGAGCCACTTCCCACATACATCCTTCAGGAGTCCAGTGACAACCAAGTCAACTGAACCATGATGCTTCATTGTAGAGACTCAAGTGTGCCAGACCCTTTTATTGTGTGTGGTATCGGAGACCATTTTTTTAGCCCACCTAAGAAACCCTTCCAAGAATACCTTACCTCTAGAGATTCCAGTTCTTTGCAGAAGGCTACAACATGCTCTATAAGACATTTATAGAATTCAAACAGGGCTCTCTCCCCAACTCTGCAACCCCTGTTCCCCAACTCTGGCCCTGGGGATCCTCTCCCTTGCTACCATCTGGTCTCGTGCTTCCTTGGGTCTAGAACATAATCATTGTCTCATAGATTCCAAAGGTTACTTTCTTCTTGGCTGGGCCATAAGTCATTTGAGGGCAAAGATTAAGTTTTCCACTTCTCCATCCAACATAGAATGTCATGCCCTGATGATATAATCATATAGCAAGAGGTGAACAGCTCTACATTGATTGATTGATCCTGTAGCAGTGCCAGCCTCCCAACACAAGGACAACCTCCAAAGTGCTTTCCTGTCTAGTCCCTTCTTCCAGCCCAAAGAGGTGAGGGGAGGATTTGGTATTGAGAATGGAGAGGCAGAGTCCTGGGTTCCTGGTCATATAGCAAGTCAGGGGAAGCTGCCGGGCCTGGACCTGGGTCTTCCAACTTCTTCTAAAAGATGTCCATCAAGGGCAGCAAGTTTACTTATCCACTGGAATGGGAAATAAAACCTTAAAAGGCAAGAGCTGATGGACCTGTCTAGATTCTGTAGATCTACAGTAGAAGGGGACTCCCAAGTTGTCCTCTCTCCCTTAGACTCTGGCATAGAATATTTAGAATTCCAAGTAGGGCCTGGGCAACAGAGAGTAGCCTGCCCCTACTTACCAGGTCTCCCAGGTTGTAGTTTGTGAAGTCCATGTCGAGGGCCAGGGGGTAGTTCATGGCTGCAGCTGTGCGTCACCACGCTGGTCACTGACTGATGCTGAGAGGCTCTGCGTCTGGTGCCTATGGAGAGGTGGCAGGCGTCAGCTGCAAATTTAAACAAATGACTCGCACGCAGTCTCCTGGGGCTGCCTACGGCCCGCTGCCTGCCTTACCACTCACCAATCATCTTTTTTTTTTTTTCCACTGGGTCTTTTCTGTTTTTTTGAATAAAAAGGGAAAATCCCCCACAGCACCAGTGCTCATCAAGCATTTCAACGTCTTTCCTGGCAACTGTAGTCTCAACTGGGGCTTGGGACTGGCGAGAAGGCTGTCTCTCGCTTCTGTCCCTGCACCTCTGAAGCGACTTGTGCCTTGTGTCAAAAACCACAGCTGACAAGGGAAACTCCCCAAGGAAAAGCAGTAGGAGAAGCGACCTTCCAACCACCTGTCCTCCAAGCTACCTCTAGACCCTTTTCACCTTTCTTACCACCAAGGTGACCAACCATCTCTGCTTGCCCAGGACTGAAAGCCCCTGGTCCTGGGGAACCCCTGAGTCCTGGGCAAACCAGGGCATTCAGTTAACCTATATACCACCATCCTTTTGCCCAGTCAGGGGCAAACACCCTTCTCGTGCCAGCTCAAGTTTGGAGGAGATAGGTTAGGATTTTTCAAAGGGAACAACCCTAAAACAGTACTGGAAGGCAAAGGTGAAATTACCAAAGGAAAGCACAGCTTCAACATAGTCTTGGGGTCATTTTCTGATTCTCAAATAACCATGTTCTACCTATGGATGAACTTGGTTGGCATATAAATTATTACCATCATAGCCTACCTGGCTTGAGAGGACGTCAGAGTTCAATCCCTGGGTTTTCTTCAAGAGGACCCTGTGGCCCAGAGAGGGGGAGTAACTTACCCAGGATCCTGCAGCTAACCAACAGCAGAGCTGAGACTGTAGTCCCAACTCCACATTCAGCACTTCTCTGCTCCACAGGCTGCTCTGAAAGGCTCCAGGAAACCCTGGCTCTGCCCTGCTGTGGGGCCTGGGCCTCTTCTTCTGTGGATCCAATTTTCCTCCAGGTCTCTTTTTTGTGGCTTTTCTTCCATGAGAGGGTCCATGGATGTGTTAGTCCACAATGGTGTAAAACTGATGTCTGCTCCCAGAGGGACCTGCATTAGGGTATACTGTTCCTTTGCCCCACCCCCCCCGCCTTGTTATCATCCTCTTCCAGCCAAATCTCATTGAGATCCTACCTTTTCCAATGTCTTCTCTCACCCTCTCCTCCATGTTCATCATTCCCTTTTCTTGCTTACACTCCTTGTTTCTGGTCCCACCTCACCCCCAACACATGCGTCTTTTTCGGGTTTCGGTGGTGTAATTTCTAGCTTCTTGCTGTCTGCGGTTGTTCTCCTTCCCTTCTCCATTCACTCCCCTCAAATACTGCTTTACAAGCCCAGGGTGGTGGTGCATGCCTACAATTCCTGTGATTTGGCTGGCTGAGGCAGGAGGACCACAAGTTCAAGGCCAGCCTTAGCAACTTAGTAAAACCCTGTTGCAAAATAAAAAATGAAAAGGGGCTCAGTGGGAAAGCACCCCCGGGTTCAATCCCCAGGACAAAAAAAAAAAAAAAAACAGAAAGAAACTGCTGTTGAGGAGTAAGAATACTAGGACAAGGGGTCAATGATCCCCTCCAGAACTTCCAGTCCTAAAACCTGCTGGGAGGAAGTGCCTTCAAGTTTCCAGGGTCCTAAGCTTTCTGGGCCTCCTCATCCTGTGGACACTACCCACCATGCTCCTGCCCCTCCAGAACATCAGCATATTCAACGTAGCTTTTGCTACTGTAAGTACATAGATCAGGAAGGATGAAGCTTAGAGACTCATGGAATCGAAAGGGACTTTCGATTTGAAGGATAAGTCAGACCATCTTCACGCCACCCCCACCTTCAGCAAATATAAGATTCTTGTCAGTGCATCCTCATCAGATGATCACTCAGTGTAGGACAAACATCACAGGGAGGGGGTGAGAAATTTGCTCCTTTCAAGAGATATGATTCAGTGTAGGATGGTTGAATGATTAGAAACTTATTCCTCAAGCTGAGTCAAAATTTGTCTTCCTGTAACTCATTCCCAGGGGTCCTGGCTGTGCCTTGGTCCAGATCATAAAGCTCCCCTTACAATAAGTGCCTCTGAAGACAGATATCACATGCCTGTGAATCTTCTCAGTCCCCCAAAACCCGCCTCCCAACTGCCTTCAACTGTTCTTCAAACACTTGGTTTCTAGGCTCCTCGTCAGCCTATTCTTTGGTCTCTGAGTGACTTCTGGGTCATGGTCCAGATATCCTCTAAGACAAACTCTAGGAAGGTATGAGTTTCCTTGTTAAGATTCCATATTTATATAACTGCAATTCACATGATTTTTTTCTGTGGATTCCCGCTCCCCTTGACAACAATGTCAATGGCTCTCATTTGTGTGGTTTTAGCTCATTGTTTCAGAGGGAGACTTTTATGACCTTGGTTCAGTCATCTGGTGATGTGATGACAGCATACAAAAGATATCTTTGGTCCATCCAAGTCCTAATAGAAAACATTAACAGGACAAAGTCAAAGTCAAACCCTGCTTCATGTCATTAGGTACCTACTATTTTCTTTTTCTCTCTCTCTACTTATTTTTATTTTATAGTTTATTTATAATGTCTCACCAAGTTGCTAAAGGGGGCCTCAAATTTACAATCCTCTTGGCTCAGCCTCTTGAGTCACTGAGATTACAGAGATGCCCCACCATGCTTGGCAAACTTCCTTCTTTATAAGCTGTCGATTTGGAGCATTTGTTACAGTTACAGAAAGCTGACTAACACATGATCATATGATCTTCAAACTCATAAAGCCAGACTAGCTTCCCCAAAGTAGAGAGGGCAATGCCTAAGCTACAATCCTGACTTAAAAGATGAAATGGCTGGGCTTCCTCCTGTGTGTGACAATCAGATGGGGTGGGATCCTTCCAGGTGAGGCAGCCCAAATTCTGTTTGTTTGCTATTTATGTTTCATCTATGTGGGATCCCACCACCTGCTTGGTGAGCAGCTTCACCGAGGCTGAATTGTGTTCTAGGCTTCCCATTGAAACGACCATGGGTGGCTTTGTCAAGACTGGGTTTGTGTCTGGTGTGGGTGGCTGCTTGGGATCAGCTCAGTGGAGTTTTCTGTCATTATACCTTGCTGTTCAGAGGTTATATTAAATTTCTAATTGTTCTAGATATTAGATATAATAATCACTTGGGTCTTCAGAAAAATTCAACCATTCCACAGAGGTTTGAGGTGCTGCTGTAGGGATGGTTTGGGATTTTACCCTGTTCCTTTCTTTAACCTGGTATGCTCTCCTTTGATGTGGGCAGAGACCTTGCTCTCTTCTTTCTCTGTTTCAACAATGCAGAACAGAACTCCACAAGTTACTACCTCATCAGCCTCAGGAAGAGTGGGGTGTCCCTCTAGGCCCCCAGAGAGACTCATAATAACATTCACACAGCACTTACCAATATATACAACTGACAAATTTTTTTTTTTTTTTTTGGTATCAGGGATTGAACTCAGGGGTACTCAACCACTGAGTCACATCCTCAGTCCTTTTTGCATTTTATTTAGAGACAGGATCTCATTGAGTTGCTTAGCGCCTCACTAAGTGACTGAGGCTGGCTTTGAACTCGTGATCCTCCTGCCTCAGCCTCCCAAGCTGCTGGGATTACAGGCATGCTCCACCGCACCTGGCCTCACCTTACAATTAAAAAAAAAATATATATATATATATATATATATATATATATATTTAGCTACAGATGGACACTATTTATTTATTTATTTGTTTGGTGCTGAGAATTGAACCTAGTGCCCCACACATGCTAGTCAAGCGTTCTTCTACCAAGCCAAAACCCTAGCCCATATTATAATTTTTTTAAAAAAAATATTTTTTAGTTGTAGATGAACACAATACCTTTATTTATTTATTTTTATGTGGTGTTGAGGATCAAACCCTGTGCCTCATATGTGCTAGGTAAGTACTTTCCCACTAAGCTACAATCCCCAGCCTCTACAACTTACAATTTTTAAAATTAGCTTTACTAAACTTTCATATTTCACTTACTAGGGCTTTTTTTTGTGTGTGTGTGTATGTGTGTGTGTGTGCGCCAAGGATTGAACCCAGAGGCACTTAACCACTGAGTCACATCCCCAGCCCTTTTTATTTTGAAACAGGGTCTTGCTGAATTGTTTAAGGCCTTGTTAAGTTGCTGAGTCTGGCTCTCAACTCACAATCCTCCTGCTTCAGCCTCCCAAGCCACTGGGATTACAGGTGTATGCCACCTCACCTGGCTTTGTACTTATTCTTTTTTTTAAAAAAATACTTCACTTATTCTTTACATTTAATTATATTTAACCCGAATCTGCAGCTATATAAGATCACACAACCTTCTAGAAGAGACTGCTTTGCTAGGGATAGAAAACTATGCCTGAACTCTTCACGGGCTGTTTATCAGGTACTTACTATGTTCCATGAGCTGAGCTAAGTTCTTTACACTACCATTTCCTCTCATCCTCTGAACCGTCCGTAAGTGTTAGATATTGGTATTACCACATTACAGATGTGGAAACTGAGTTTCAGACGGTAGTGGGAAGTAGTATAAATGTTCACAGCTCACTCAGGCAACAGGGACCCAACAGCACAAGTCAACACAGGAAGTGGGTGGTGAAGGTTGTCATTGCTGGGAGGCAGCACCCACGCATAGCTCCTCTGTCATTAGGTAACAGGTAGGAGTCCGCAGGGAGGAAACGGGCTGCAGGTGCTGGGTAGGCACATCAAGATTACTTCAAGGTAATCAGTGTATTTGGGGGCAGGCAGAGTAACCAGGGTTAGAGAGGGACTCCGGTGCTTATCTGCTGAGTACTGAGCTGAGCACTAACGAGAAGGGAGACTAACCCAGGAGCAGTGTCTAACAGAGAAGGCAGAACAGATGCATGAATGGAAGTTTGCACA